CTTGCTCCCCCTGCCCCATCCACATGGCCTTTCTTTACATTCTCCAATGGAGCAAACTCATTTCCACCGCAGGGCCTTTGCACTTGCTGCCCCTCTGTCGGGAATGCTCTGCCCCCACCTGGCTCCTTCTTGCCATCAGGCCTTTGCTCAAATGTTACCTGCTTGGAGAGGCCTTCCCTGAGCAGCTTGCTAAGCTGTACACCCCCCTCTGCCACCCCCAGCCTCTTATTACAGCACCCTGGTTTACTGCACAGCATTGTCCCTACCCGAAATTATCTTGCTTCCTAATTTGTCAACTCTACTATTGTCCCCTCCTGGCTGAGCCCCTTGGTTTCTTGTTCTCTGCTGTATTCCCAATAACTGGTACAGTGCTTGGTACACACTAGGTGCTCCTTAAAGGCTGGAGGACAGATCAGACCTGGAATGGATTCTAGGGGTTGTCGAGTCCACCCTCCTCGCTTTACACATGAGCAAACAGGCTCGGAGAGAGGATGTGCGCTCCCTGTGGACACACAGTGAAGAAACGGTGCAGCTGGAAGGGGAGCCCCAGCTTGGCCTGTCTGGGAAGCCTGTGCTGTCAGGTGCTGACGACTGGGAACCACGAGCCCCCAGCAGGCTCCCACCTCACTCAGACTGTTCCCTCACTGAAGTTTGGGCTCCGGCTGCACTGGGTTTTGAACTCCCCACCCACGGTGCTGATGCAGATGTGGACAGTGGGAGCCTCCAGCACCATGTGACAGACAGCTGGCTGTTCTGGGGATTGGCATTCTCCGGGCTTTCTCTTGCATGCCGGCCTTTCATCCCTGGCTTGTCTCCTGAACCTCTGCCATCTCTCTAGCGGGCCCCTGCTGCCCTTGCCATTCCCCACCCGCCCAGGGAGCCCACCCCTGCTCTAGGGCAGGGGATCCCCTCCTAGAAGGGGGTTCTGGCCCTGGGGAAGGCCATTCCTCCAGGGCAAGGCCTGGAATTGCAGCTTTTCAGCACAAATGAAGAGCAGAGCAACGGCCCCGCAGCTGTCTGACCTATAGGACAAGGGGAGGTGCTTTAATGGACTGGTGTGTGCACTTTAGTGGATGCACACGTGTGCACACACACTCAGACATGCACATGTGCACACACATGTGCATGCACACACACTCTGTCACACAATGTGCACACACATACACGTGCATGCACACACTCAGACACATATACTCAAACACATATACGTGCATGCACACAATATGCACACACACATGTGAACGCACACACAGACATATACATGTGCATGCACACACACCCAGACACACATGTGCACACAAATACACGTGCATGCATATACTCAGGCACACACATGCACACACACATACATGTGCACGCACACATACTCAGACATACACATGTGCACACATATACACAAATAGATTTTACGAGGGTTTGGAGGCTGAGGGCTGCTCACAGCATCTCCCCTGCTTCTGCTCCAGAGTACGCCTGGAAGCTTTGCAGTGAGGAAGAGCCTTCATTTCAGAAAGGCAGTACTGTGCAGTGGTTAAAGGGAGCTCGTAGACTGCCTGGATTGGAATCCTGGCTCTGCTACTTGCTAGCTGGGTGACTCCCGGCAGGTCCCCTCACCTCTGTATGCTGTCATTCCCCATCTGTTCCATGGTTAAATCCGTATGGGTATTGCAGGGATTAAATGAGTCGAAATGTGCCTGGCACATGGTGAACATTACCTAAGTCACATGACTGTTTGCTATTGTTGTTGTTATTTCAAAATCAGAAAGAAGACAGGAAATGTTTTTCTCCTGCTGGGAGAGAAAACCCTGAGTTGAAGGGCAGTGGATGATCCGGGCATAGGAGGCCTGCGCTGGAATCCTGGCCAGCCCCAACAAGCTATGTGACTATGGGAAAGTTGCTTCCTCTCTCTGGCCTCAGTTTCTTCATCTATAAAATGGGGGCAGTGATATCAGCAGGGTCACCTCACCAAGGGGTGGCTGGGAGGAGCCAGTGTGATTGTGGACATGGCTGTACATGAGAGCCTGCCGCGTGCTAGACAAGGGTTGGCCTCGCCGTGGAGAGCCCACGGCCCACGTTACCCAGGTTGAGTTTGGTGCAGTTCCCGTCGGTCACTGGACACTTGTACACGTCTCCCGTCTGCTGGTGGCCATTGGTTTCCAGTGGGGCACCCACAACCAGCCTGGGAAGGAGGAGAAGACAATCAAAGACGCTGGGGCAGGTGCGCCTTCCCGACGGACGATGGACCTGGTGGGCAGTGCAGAGGGGAGGACGGGTGGGGAGCGCGGGAGGGAGCCCTATGGCAAATCCTGGAGGAGCCACCACCTGCAGACCCTCGAGCTGGGACCTTTGCCTCCCTGGGGGAGGGATGCCGGACTTTCAGCATAAAGTCACAGACCTGTGCCCATTCCGGGCCCTTGCCAGGGTCTGGAGAAACTGGCATGAAGTTCACACGGCCCTGCGACACGTGGGCTGGAGGCGAGGCAGTGGCAGAGGAGGAGGGTGCCTGAGCTGGGCCTTAACAGACGAATATGAGTTTGTCAAATTGCGAGGCGGGTAACGGAAGTCATTCAGGCAGAGGAACGATGCTTCCAGAGCCATCTGTCATTACCTGCAGGCTCTCAGTCCTCATCTTACGCGGAAGCCTTTCAGCTGGTGACCCAGGTGGGCCACTCAGTCTTTGCTCAAGGTGGACAAGGCAGCCGGTGGGCTGAAGAGGGGCCAGGCAGCCACACAGCTGGGCTTCCTGCCTTGAGCCTGCGCCTCTGTGACCTTCCTTGGAAAAAGTCTTTGCAGACGTGATTAAGTTAAGGATCGTGAGTTGAGATCGCCGGATTATCTGGGTGAGCCCTCAACCCGACAAGTGTCTGTATGAGTGACACGCAGAGGAGACACGGGGAAAGAGAAGGCCATGTGAAGGCGGAGGCAGAGGCAGGAGTGAGGCTGCCACAAGCCAGGGGACGCCTGGAGCCACCAGCAGCTGGGAGACTCAAGGAAGGGTTCTCCCCTGGAGCCTCCGGAGGGAGCGCGGACCTGCTGCCGCTTCGATTTGCGGCTTTTGTCCCCTAGAGCTGTGACGGGAGTACGTTTCTGTCCCTGTGAGCCACCCAGTGAGTGATCGTTTGTTACAGCAGCCCACACACACGCACGTTTCTAGGGACAAATGAGGATCTGCTTCCTCCTGGCCTGACAAGCCCGGTGGCCGCGCCCTGGAGGAAAAGCCTGTGACTCTGGGGCCCCGGCTGTGGCCCAGGAGAATCCTTGTCAGACTGGGGCCCTCTCCTTAGGGCTCCCCCAGCTCACCCCTCAAATCCGGCCCACCAGGGGGCAGCACCGTCGGGGGCCCAGAGTGGCGGGAGGATGCCAACCGGAGTGGGGCCCTCCAGGCTTGGGCCGCCCAGCTCTCTGCTCAGGCTGTAGGTGACCAGTGGCTCAAGAACAACAACCCTCTGCAGGAACAGTGGCGCTGTAAGGGGAGGGGCCGCCACAGCCCACCACGCCCTGGAAGCCTTCCAGACCCTGAGGGATAGAGAGTGGATGACTGCTGAGTTGGGGCACAGGGACGGTGAGATCTCCTGGAGCCCTTTACACCCTTTCTTCCAGCAGTTTCCCTCCGCCTGGCAGCATGGCCCAGAGGAGAAGCCTCTACCTGTTCCCCGGCTTAAGACGGCTGCGAGGAGCTGGGCAGGACGAGACTTCCGTGGCTTCTTGTGGTCAAACGCCCCCCGGCCCGGCCCCTGCCCACCTCGGCGCTGTCAGGACGGAAAGCCGGGCCCGAGGTGGGAGCGCACAGAGCTGTTTGAAATTAGGAGTTATGAAATAGGAGCTGAGGTTTCTCCCCTGGGGAGCCAGATAATGACAGATTCTAAATATATCCCCTTATTAAGCGTGCCTATTTTTGACTGGCAGGAATTAATTGGGTCCATAAAATCTGTTTGTCTAGACGAGGTGATTTTTGGCTGCTTAATTCTGCGAGGGATGGTGTGCTCAAGGTCACTCCATTCTTTCCAGCAAAAAAAAAATAAATAAATAAAAGAGAGGAAATAAGAGAGGTCAGTAGGGAACCTGGGCTCTGAGCTTGCTTCCCTAGCGGCCCCAGTTTTCGGGGTCAACCTGGTATGTGACTAAGTGTACCCAAGGGATGTGTCGCGTTCCCTCCTGGGCGCCACTGCCAGCGGGTGGGTGCTCCCAGAAAGCACCTCGCGGGGTGTCTCTGGGAGAGTCAGGCATGGCGCGTTCTAGATTACAGAAACCACGGCCATCTTCTAGAACAGCTAGCCCCACGTGTCTTCTAGAAAACACCCAGCAGCCGACGAGGGCAGATTCCTCATGACTCTTCCCATTGCACAGAGTGGACTGCTGAGGCCCAGCCGCCTACTTGTAGGGCCCCCGACAGGACAAGATCCTTGCACTGAGGATCCAGCGGCTGGGTCCTCATGCTGGGTCTGTTACGAGCTTCCTGTGTGGCCTTGAGAAGTCATTTAACTTTCCAGACCTTGTGGCTATGAAATGGAACCAGCAATTCCCACACTGCCTACCTCCCAGGGTCACCGGAAAGTCACAGGAGCTAAAGGCATTGAGAAATAGAAGAGGCCGTATCTAGGTAAGTTATGCATGAAGACTGGTGGCTTCCTAGAAGTTATGTGTCCTGGCAGTGGCCAAGATGGGACAATCTGGCAGTAAATTTACTAAGTCACCGGGACTCCAAATTTGCAGCAAGACTGGGCTTTGTCCTTTTCAAAGAACAAGTGCCGCCCCCATACATCCTGTCTCCATTCTCTTGGACCTCATTTCCCAGGGGGTCCTCAGCACTTCACGAGGTAGGAGGGCAGGGCTTACTGTCCCCATAATACAGATGCAGAAACTGAGGACCCAAGAAGGGAGCTGACCCAGGTCCCGCCGTTTGTTCATGGCAGGGCTGGGACTGGCGTTCTCCTGGGACAGCTTCCTCTGTGTTGCCTGTGAGGGGAGGGACTGGGTCAGCGCTTCTCTCCATTTTCGAGTCTGGGCATTACGTGTGCCTGTCGGGCTTGAGGTTTCGAGGACATGATTCAGTCTGTTTGAGGGGATAACTGCCGAAGCGCAGGGAAAATGTTCACGTCACCACCGAGACCAGCGAAATTGCTCCTGGGGTCTGGCACCCCTGCCACCCGCTGCGGCCTCAGCTTTATATAGCCATCTGCAGTCTAAGGGCCTGTTGTGCCTCTCCATGGCTGGATACTCTATATGTTCTGGCGTGGGTACCAGTCTGCTCGGCAAACCCAAAGGTTGTGGCGAGCATCGGGCGGTTTCCATGGGCTGTGTGTCGTGAGTCACAGGCTGTGGGCTCCTGGCGTTCTTCCTGTGCAGGCGCAGGGAGCAGGGCCCGGACCGATGGGAGAACTGGCAGCAAAAGTTCCAGCCACAGCCCCGTAGGACCCCTTCCCTGGCGACCACCCTGTAAGCAGGGTCTTGTCAAGGGAGGATGCTCCCCGTGGAGATGGCCACCTGAGGAAGGCCACTGTGGCCCTGCCAGGTGCTGGGCTCTTTGGCTCTCAGCAGGACACGGGCTAAGAGAAGTGGCCCCTGGCTCTTGGGCCCTCCCACCTGACTCACTCCCTCACACCCTCCCCAACAAGCCTCCACGGGGACTCATCCCAAATTCTGCTTATCCTTAGCTCCATCTTTCGGCAGTTTTGGTCTCCAAACTTTTGGAATTGCAATCTCTTGTCAGAAGAAAGATGACATGTATCCCCAATATGTGTAAATTTATATGTAAATTACATCAGCGTAAACCATCAATTTGTATATTAAATATTAGGAATCCTGTTTTTTCAGATAAAATATAAGTCTAATAGAACTCAAATCATTTTATTTCTGTACCCCCGTATATCGTACAGCACTTCCCCAGAGGTGTGCAGACCCCATCCTGGACCCCATCCGTTTGCGATCTAGAACAATTCCCACCTGCTCCAGGAAGCCCTCACTGATGACATAAACCGCCTGTAATCCCTGCTGCCTGGTGTGGCCAATGTAGGCATGTCATGATTTCTTGAGGTCTGAAATGTCCTGATCTGTCCTGCTGCAGCAGTGTAGGGTGGTCTTAAAGGCACTCAGTCGGGAGGTACCCACTGATGGATCTGAGCTTGTGTGACAGGCTACAGCGGCAGCAGTTTTGGGAGCTGTTTGGTTTTGTCTCTAGCCTAAGAGGAGCACCCAAATCTATTGCTGGAAAAAGGGTTGCTGAGAAACCAAGTCCTAAATATTTTTCTTGCATAGAGGTTCTATGGAGTGACCCTGCTTCCATTCTAAAGTCAATGTGATTGCTTCCCTGGCTTCCACTGCCCTCTTCCCAATAGTTTTCATTTTTGTTTGAGGATCCAGGGAGTCTAGCCCTATTCCAAGTTCCAGGGATGGAACACATAGCTCAGTGCAGGCCACTTTAATCCCACAGCTGCAGTGATTGAGTCAGGGTGGGCAAATGACTTAAATCATCCCAATCAGAGTGACTCTTGGGACTTCTGCTTGGCATGTAGGGACCATAGTGGTCTCTTTTCTCTGGATGACCTTGTGTGTGAATGCAAGGCCTGAAACTCTTGGCAGATGTTTTGTGATGATGAAGGTATGAGCTGATGCATTGAGTGGGGAGGGATGAGAGAAGCATCAAGAGAAGGAGCTAGAGTCCTTATGATACTGCAAACCCCTGGATCAAACTATGCCTGAAGCCTGAACTACCATTGGACTTTCCTGATATATGAGCAATAACGACCTTTTGCTGTATTAGTCTGAGTTTTTAGGTATTTATAATTGAAAGCATTCTAGCTTTTAGAGTGTATAAGGCCAAAAAAGGCACACACAGTTAAAATTACCCTTAGAAATCCCATATATTGCCATGCTAGAAGAGAAACATGGCAACCGAGATCAATGAGGGAGGAGCAGATTCACATGCCCCAGCTCCATCTGGGGTGGGTGAAATTGCCAGACCATGTATATTATTTCTCTCTTGTTGAACCGAATGCATAAAACCGTTCCCTGGCCCAGCCTGGTGGGAACAGAAACCTTTTTGTTCTATGTGCATCCCATTTACAACAGCTGCTCAGACAGGGAACCCTGCACTCCAGATGTTGCTGGTTACCTGGTAACTGGCTTTAAGACCATCAGAGCTGGGAGGAAACATGAAGGTTCCTAGGGCCAGCCTTGGGC